AAAAAAAAAAAAAAAAGCTGCTATGAAAGAAACTGCATAGGGCTAATCTGAATCCCTGTTTAAGTTTTGGAAAATACATTTTAACAACTTTCTAGGACCTCCAAAGGCACTCAAACTCTCATTTCTGCAAAATTTATACAAGATAATTTTGACTACAAAATTTCCCTGGCGAAACCCTGTGTGGCCCTAAAATAGACGGTATATTTCCCACTCCCATGCTGGTGACACAGAGACTTTAATCTTTTATTGTTTCACTCACTAGATGAAGCCATTTCTACGTGCTGTAGATGATAACAGTATGTGCAAAGAGTAATCTTTGTTTGGCTTCCAGTTTACTTTTACCCTTCTTTTTCTAGAGACTGAGTCTCACTCTGTTGCCCAGGCTGGAGTACAGTGTGGTACGCTCATAACTCATGGCAGCCTTAAACTCCTGCTTGAGCTATCCTCCTGCCTTAGCCTCCTGGGTAGCTGGGACTACAGGTACACACCATCACATGTAAGTATTTGTTCTATTTTCCTTTTTTTTTGTTAGAAACAGAGTCTTGCTTTGTTGCCCAGGTTGGCCTCAAACTCCTGGCCTGAAGAGATCCTCTGGCCTCGGCCTCAAGAAGTGCTGGGATTACAAGTGTGAAACATCATGCCTGGTCTAATTTACTTTTCAAATAAAATCCTCTGTACAGTTTTGACAATGGATTTTAGATAATTAATATCTAGTTACCTCACATCTTCACCTTCCTCTAAAATAGACAAACAGATAGTACACTTTTCCTCTGTGTCTTCCTCAGTCCCTTCTTCCCCATCTTGTTTGCAGTGCAGTTTCCTCTGTGAGAACCAATCAGTTGTTACCTTATTAGTAGAGATGACATTATTGAACAACTGAGTAAAGTCTGTGTTTACTTGAAAAACAAAACAAAAAACAAAACCACATATTCCCACACTTATTTCCCAGGTAAGACTGTCGTAAATAAACGGATAAATTAAATGAGTATCATCAATTAAGTATACTTTTAAGACCCTCTAACAATCAGGATCAAAAGCAAAATCAAACTTAACAGACATTCATTCACTTGAAAACTACTACTTTTAATCCACAATGAGAATGATACACAATATAAACTCTATTTTTATCCTATCATGAGCATAGATAAGTAAGTTTTGTTTTACTAGTGAATGTTTCAAATAACATCCATTAAATTAATGTTAGTTATAGTATTTAGCTTGGACAGCTGAAAACTTGAATGTACTGGTAATACCTCAATACTCTCAGAAAATAGACGAAAAATACAAAGAAAAGTTTTTCATGCTTTATGATTATTCTCTGCATAGCACAGGGAGTCGCCAACCCCTGGGTTGCAAACCAGTACCCAGCTGCACAGCAGGAGGTGAGTGGCAGGTGAGTGAGTATTGCTGCCAGAGCTCCACCTCCTGTCAGATCAGAGGCAGCATTAGATTCTCATAGGAGCATGAATCCTATTGTAAATTGCGCATGCGAGGGATCTAGTTGCATGCTCCTTGGGAGAATCTGTGGAATAGTTTCACTGTGAAACCATCCACCTACCCATGGAAAAACTGTTTTCCATTAAAACAGGTCCTTGGTGCCAAAAAAGTTGGGGACTGTTAGCACTGAGCATTATTTGTTATAAGACACTTAGTTAACATGTCTACTCCATAACTTCCAGATACTGTATAATACTATGCAAGAAATTGAGGAGTAGAAGAAAAAACATCAATGAAATGTCCATCAAAATAAATTGCTAGTTAAAAAAATTACAGCACTGTCATATGATGGAATTCTGTATAAGCTTACAAGGGTGATCTGTGGGAGCTGATATGGCATGAAAGGCAATCTGCAAACTGTGTGGTTATCTCCTTTGTGTTATTTTTTAAAGTAGACAAAAAACATATATACATATGCACATTATTAGAAAATGCTGAAAAGTATCTGGAAGAATATCTAAATCCGTAACTATGATTTCACTTCTGGGAAGAAGGACTAGGGTCTGCAGAGTAAGAAACTGCAGAGTATATATATTTTTTATACTTTCCAAATTATTTAAATAATATGTATGTATTGTTTCAATAAAAATGTCATTGCTAGACTCTACAAATTCAAAGAAGGTATATATAAACATTCTAGAAGCTTCACAGAATAAATTCTTACCTTTTTGTATTTATGTGGATATGTACATCTTTCAATTGTCCCCTGGGATGCTCCACGATTGACATTTCCTAATCTTTCTTCCAAATGAATCAGTTCCTGAAAGTGAAGCATAAATAGTAGTAAAAGCCAAAATGATTATTCCTTGAACAGTATTGTCAACATTGTAAAAGTAAGAAACTTCCATAATTAGAAACTTGAAATATAAATACAGTGTTCAAAAAAAACTTACATATGACAACACAAGTGGTTATTTACATACTTATATATAAGTATATATAAAAATTTATATGTTGCCCAGGCTGGTCTCAATCTCCTGGCCTCAAGTGATCTCCTACCTCAGCCTCCCAAACTGCTGAGATTATAGGTGTTAGCCACCATGCCTGGCTTAATGTTTCTCATACACGGTAAGGCAAATGGTTGTTTATAATATTTTCCTCAGCCAACTGAAATGGTACAGCTCAAGTTATCTTTACAAATTACAACAGTATTACCACATGGTACTACATGAGTCAGTATGTATGTATGCATGGAGAAGATGAAATCATTCTAGTAAATTAAGGAACCAAATCATATAGTAGTTCTAAGTCTGCAGAAGTAATTGTGGTTTGGAAAAAATAAATGAAGAAAAAAATAAAATAAAATAAAAAGTTTTAAGTCACACTGACTCCAACTTCCAAACTGACATAAAAAACTTTAAATCACATTTGAATGATTTGTTGTTCCTGAAAATTCAAACAAGACATTTAGCTACAAAGGGAATTACTTAGGATTCCTTTTCTCTACCAGTTTCTCTAAAAATTTAGCTGAGTCAAAAAATAGGTTCCCCCCAATATTTAATGGTATGGTTATTTATCTGATATTTATATTTATTTAATACATTTTTACATACTTCTATATTAGATATTTTCATTTATTCATCTTTAAATACCTGGGTAACTTTTGACCCTAAGATTAATATTACTTATAAATCTTTCTGTAACTCCTAGAATCAACCTCAGAAAATCAGACAAGTTACTGCCTTGTAATTCCCAGCCACTGTAGCAGTCCTACACAATTGCGCATACTAATAGTGCATTTATACTTTCTGCATTAAAAATACTGTGACATGCTTGCGAAAATGCTGATGAAAGAAAAAAAATTTTTTTTAAATACTGTGACAAATATATTCATTTACTTTATTCCATACCTCAAAATTGCCCCTGAAAGGACCTCTGAATGATGTTCCATCCAATCCTGATGAAATGTAACGGATGTGAGGATAGCCTGCCATATCAGGAACCTATTTTAACAGAAGAGATAGGCTAAATCAATTAAGAATAGACTCGTGGTTTACTGTTAACATTGAATAATTCAAAACCTTCAATGTTTACCATTTCACTGCCCATAAAATTCAACTTCAATAAGCATACGTAACTCCAACGAAGACTTCTTAGCTTAGTTGGAGAGGTTTAGGTTTCTCTGAGTAAGCATACATAACTCCAACTAAGACTTCTTAGTTTAGTTGGACAAGATTAGATTTCTCTTAAAATATAACCTAACTCTCCAAAATGCCCAAACTTAACCCTGATGCTCTTAGTAGCTCAAATTTGAAAAGAGTAAAATCGTCTTAAGATCCTGTCAATTTCAGAGACCTTACTAAAACAACAGAAGTACACATAATTTTCCAACAAAATTTCACTTCAAGTTTTTATTTCACTTCCGTTTAGCATCCTAACAGCCAGAGTACCCTATGCCTTTTTTTGCTTGATTCTAATAGTGAAAGTTTTAACACTGTTTTCTAGTTTTTTGTTAGGTATAGTCAATCTTCATTATTTATGGATTACATATGCGTGAAATGACCCACGGGCTAAAATTTACTTGTAACCCCATAATCAACACTTGTGCTTTCAGTCATTTGGGGATATACCCGGTGGCAAAAAAATTTGAGTTACCCAACATGCAACTCTGCTCCCAGCTGAGATAGAACAGGGCTCTGTCGTATTTGAGCTCCTATTCTAAACCAGTGTTGTTTGCAGTCTGTTTAATGCCATGTTTTTCACAGTTTTGTGCTTTATGTTGGTGATCTTGTTGTTTAAAATGGTCCCCATAAAGCATAAAGTGGAAGTGCTATCTAGCGTTCCTAAGTCACGACGGCTGTGATACACCTTATGGAGAGAATAAGTTTCATTCAGGCATGAGTTACAGTGTTGTTGGCTATGAGCTCAATGTTAATGATTCTACAATATTTTTTTAAAGTTGTCTTTACACAGAAAGGCACACAAAAAAAGGTCATATACAGATTTAGTTGTGAACAGATGCTTGCAGTAAGATAATTTTGTATTTCTCCTAGGAGTATGGTCCCATATTTGCTAACTCAGAGTTCGCAGCAACTGTATACATCACAACTGCCACGCAAATTGAGAGTATTAGGAAAGGGCAATTCTGAGATACAGCACCATTCTTCCATCTTTATACATAAATCTCCGACATTGCTTTTTAATCAGCCTACACTGAATCACAACATACTCCAAACAGAATTTATAGCTTTAACGGACACTTCATATGTGGAAAAGAATTTAGCAATAACTTCTAACCTTTAGTAGCCTATTACTTAAATTACTTACAACTTTTCTTATAACCAAGATCAATACTAATAAGCAGATAACCCAACCTCCTAAACGTCTTCGAAGAAATCAGAAACTCCTGCATTCCAAAACAAATCAATCTTCACTTACCCTGAAAACCCTCTCCTCCCTAGTCTCGTTCCTCTAGCTTTTATGGATAAGCTTTTCTCCTATTCAAACTCTATTCTTATCACCTGCTCCTACATTCACCTGTTCACCTTGGATCATGTTTAATTAATTACTCCACACCAAGTATCTCTTCAGCATCTTCAAACGATTCCTCTCTAATGGTTTTTGGTCTTAAATCTAAAAATACCTTTAAGTTTCTCCAAACCTAAATTCTCTACTAATCCTGGAATTATTGCCACCAAATTGGTGTTTCCCTCATTTTCCCTTCACAGTCAAGCTTATAAAGCAAGAAGTCTGTATTCACTGTCTCCATGTTTTTTACTTCCTTACCATAATCTAAGAGATGCCCCACCTGCATCACTCACCATTACTAAACCATTCTGACACAAGACACCAATAACCACTTTAATTACCTTTTAACATAAACTAGAAATCTGGGAGTCACCCTAAATATTTCTCAAATGTGTCCCATCATTTTTATGCCAACGATGATTGCCTTCATTCAGGCATTCACTGATATTTACTACTTCTACTAGACTGTCCTAACTGGTTTCCCACATTTAAATCTATTTTTCCACATAACTGAGGAGGTGATTTTTCTAACTATAATCTGATTAAATCACTCTAAAATCATAAATTTGATCAGGACATTTCCCCTTCAGTGGTTCCTGAGTTCCAGTTTCTTGCTAGAACAATTTCTCACTGCTGCCTGACCCTCACTCCTAAGATTAGAAACACCAGCTTACTTGGAGTTCCCAGTGCTTGTGCTATTTGCTACATCTTTTTACATGATGTAACCTCTGCAAGAGCACCATTCCAAAATCCAAAGTCTGCTTAGAAATCACGTGTACAGGAAAGCTTCTCTCAAAGCTTCCCTGCAGCGCCTCTACCCACAACAACACAAAACTATTCCTTTTCTGTATCACTTACACAACAAGCATGTAATACAAACAGCAAATGCAATATATGGTTTGCTGAACTTGTTCTTTAGCACTTACTTTACAAAATTGGAACCTGCTTAAATCAGATGTAGATAATTAGTATAATCTTTCTGCAGATTAGAAAATCAGGCCAGGTGCTGTGGCTCATGCCTGGAATCCCAGCACTTTGGGGCAGATCACTTGAGGACAGGAGTTTGAGACCAGCCTGGCTAACACTTTGAAATCCCATTTCTACTAAAAATACAAAAATTAGCCGGGCATGGTGGCCTGTGCCTGTAATCCCAGCTACTTGGGAGGCTGAGGCAGGAGAATCACCTGAACCCGGAAGGCAGAGGTTGCAGTGAGCACAGATCATACTACTGCACTCCAGCCTGGGTGACAGGGCAAAACTCCATCTCAAAAAAAAAAAAAAGAATTGACAGTGTCATCAACAGCTTTCAAAGAGAGAGAGACAGAAAAAAAAAAAAAAAATCAAGTATGACTGCATCAGAACAGACCTATTACCACGGTGGCAAAATAACTGAAGCACAGTATACTCCTGACAGTGGATAAAGAGTATCTCAGTATACCAAAACCCCACTTTTTTGTCATTTTGTACATTAAGAGTATATTTTACAATGCAAATTACACACACAGATTTTAATACATCTAATACCTTTTTACAGCACAATTTTTAGCTAACAAGATTACTTTCAAATTCTATTACAACACCTATAACTAATATAGTAAAATATTTCCAATAAAATATTTAATTTAGAAAATGAACTTTTAGAACATGTCAGAATTTTGAAGATTTTCCATTTTACCATTAAAGGAAGAGCTCCTAATTGTAAGTGATGAAGTCGAGGAGGTGCATGATAATGGGCCAAGTGAGGATGCAATGCACCAGGTGTATAAGTAGCTGCAGTCACTCCAGCTTCAATTCCCAGTTCCCTGACAAAAGGATGAGAACAGTTTAATCTTCCTTAGGGTCCCTTTATCATCAACAGAAACGGGGAATTATGTTTACACTTAAAAAAGTAATCTAAGGTTTCTTAACTTTCAAAGCTGAGGAAAGATAATTTAGCCCAAAATATTTCATTTCAAATTTATTTCAGAACTGAAAGCTCAGAAAACTTAAATTTTGTGACAATGAGAGGTAAAGCATTTGTACTTGGTATCACATCTTACAAAGGAAGGAAATACAATGAATGGCTACTAAGGTCCATTCCAAGATAAAAGCCTGATCATACTTGAGGAGGATACAACATAGCATTTACTTTTTTGGTGTATCTGAATGTTACAGATGATCTCTGGATTTTTGTTAGATATAATCTCTTGATTGTTGACATTAAGGACAATTACAACAGCAAACTCTTCCACATTTTATAAAACAAGGGTAAACAGAATTTTAGAAGGGGTAAAACTGTTATCTGCTAAATCTTCATTTACTTATTATCATTTTATGTTCTGCCTCAAAAGTCACTGTGGTTCAAGATCTCAATGAACACCCACAAACAATAAATTCAGAAAAAAAAAATTTAACAAAAATTTGCTTTCACCTCTCTAGGGAAGATCACAAGTCTAGGAGAATGAAGGCTGAATTTCCCTCATCAATAGCAGGTGAGGGTGGTGGAGCAAATCTGAGTACAAAGGTGGGGGTCAGTTAAAGAAGATGTGAAAAGCAGGATCAGTCTAGGGAGTAAACTTTGGTGGCATCCCTGAAAAACGGGAAAAAAGCTCTGCTCCTCTTACTGACAAGAGAACTCATAAGCATGTTGTTTACCAGTGGTTGGGGAGGCGGAAGGGGCTTGTAGATGAGGAAAGGGGAGATGTTGGACAATGGATACAAAGCTTCAGCTAGGAGGAATAATTTCTGATATTCTATTGCACAGCAAGGTGACTACAGTTAATAATAATGTACTGTTTATTTCAAAACTGTGAAAAGAGAAGACTTTAAACTTTCTCACCACAAAGAAATGATAAATATTTGAGGTGATAAATACGCCATTAGCCTGATTTGATTATTTCACAATGTATAGATGCACTGAAATATGTGGTACCTCCAAAATATATACAATTTTTATTTGTCAATTAAACATAAAAGAACACCTAAAAAAAAAAAAAAAAAAAAAAAAAAAAAAAAAAAAAAAAAAACCAAAAAAAAAAAAAAAAAAAAAAAAAAAAAGAGTTCTACTCCTGCTTGACATGGTTCCCTGCCCCAGCTCCTGCTCTTTCCTCTCCAAATCTCTATCTGCCCAGAGGCAGTGTCTCACAGTTAAACTGGGGATTAGTTTTCTCCACATCACCATTCTGCATGGCAATCCATCACAAAGCATCTCTTCCAATAGTTTCACCACAAACTGCTAAGCATTGCTTTTAAATTAAACAAGATACTGACCAGGCAGACCTCTCTGGAGCCTGTCGAGGATGTGAGGACATAGTTTGAGGCACATGAATATGATGCCCATGACCATAGTTTGGGTGCATCCTATGTGGATGAGGTGGGGGGCGTTCATGTGCCCGCCTGGAAACACAGAACACAAAAAGACCACTGGAAATAATTGAATAATTGGTTATTTCTTTTCTTAATGTAGAAAAAAAAAAAACCCTAGTATTAATACTATAAACATCTATAGACTAGTCATAAATTTTGCAACAATAAATTATAAAAAATATAAAATTATTAATAAATCAAAGAAAACATAACCTCCCTCCTCTACAAATTCTAATTGGTCATTTATTCCAATGCTTCCAATTCAAATATCACCCAAGGAACATGGTAATTTTAACATTATCTTGTATACCTTCTTTACAAGAGATATTTTAAATAGGAGAGTAATAGGAATTGAATAGAAATAAAATTTTTAAAAATTAAGTATCCCAGTCAAATGTTGCAGGCACAAATAAATAATTTTATATAAACATTAATGCAGGAAAAATTGAAACCTTAATTTTGCTTCATTTACACGTACAATGTAAAGACACGCAACCATTTTAATGGCTGGAAAGTTTAAGAGAAAAAAAAATTTAACCTTGTGCATTTTTTCAAAATATATGTCGTACATGTTAACACACCTAGGAAACATATTTAGCCCCATTCATACTTTTTATTCTACATCCCAGTTTACTGTATCTCCTCTTCCTAAAGTCAGTTAACAAAAGACACTTAAAAACAGCTTAGTTTCACGGATTCACTTTTTGTTTTTGTTTCTTTTTTAAGAATCTTGCTCCAGGATCGAGTGCAGTGGCACAATCATAGCTCAGCATAACCCTGAACTCCTGGGCTCAAGTGATCCTCCCACCTCAGCCACCTGAGTAGCTGGGACTACAGGTGTGTGCCACAATGCTCAGCTAAGATTCATTTTTATAGTCTAATTATTTTCTATTAGTTTTTAACACATTTGCAGATTTTGCATGTTTATTCTAAATAACAATTTGTCGGGTACTGGAGGATAAGACTGTAAACTGCCAATTTTCTATATAAAAGGTTACTTTATTAGAATGGCAACAACAAGCAGAGATCTGGGATATAATCTTGGTTTTTTGGTTTGGTTTTTTTTGAGACACAGTCTTGCTCTTTCGCCAGGCTGGAGTGCAGTGGCTCAATCTTGCAACCTCTGCCTCCAGAGTTCAAGCAATTCCCCTGCTTCAGCCTTCCAAGTACCTGGGACTACAGGCACGCGACACCAAGCCCTGCCAGTTTTTTGTATTTCAGTGGAGACAGGGTTTCACCAGGTTGGCCAAGATGGTCTCAATGTCCTGACCTTGTGATCCACCCGCCTCAGCATCCCAAAGTGCTGGGATTACAGGCGTGAGCCACTGTGCTCGGCCGAGATTTGGGATATAATCTTAAATGACACAAATAAAGCAAGAAGTTACACAAGAGCTGGATCATTAATTAGAAAAAGAGTTTGGCAAACATGTTATGTGAAGGGTAAAACAGGAAATTTTTTCAGCTCTAAAGGCCATATGTTCTCTTGTTGTAACTACTCAACTTAGCTTTTGTAGTGTGAAAACAGCCACAAACAATACAAACACTTTTTCAGTTTGTTTGTAACTGAAAAAGTATAGCTGTTTCCCAATAAAATTTTGTTTACAAAAATCGGCAGGCAGAATTAGACCAAGAAAGTTTGCTGCTCTGAATACGAAAATCAGATCCTGACTAATCAAAAGAAAAAAAAGAATTTTCATAAATTTGAAGTACAATATTTTCACTGCCAGTTTTAAAAAATTCTATTAATAGTTTTCTTCCCTCTGGTTAGTAATAGACAAATCTTTAATATCTTCAGATAGTTCCTCAAAATAATCAATTTTAACACTGATTTTCACTATGCGATACTGCACCAACAGACAAAAGATTAGTTTGCATCAGACCAGTCTACTATTTTTTTAAAAATTGGTTTGCATAAAGAAATTACCCGCCGGGCGCAGTGGCTCAAGCCTGTAATCCCAGCACTTTGGGAGGCCGAGGCGGGTGGATCACGAGGTCAAGAGATCGAGACCATCCTGGTCAACATGGTGAAACCCCGTCTCTACTAA